GATGACATCGGCATGTTTAATTTGCTGCTGCTTACTATGGAAAGAGAAGTGTTCTTCTTCATGTGTAATTGATACATTTTTTTTGTTGCAATTTTTTTAATGGGTAAATTATATAACACCCCTTTGTGTTTTAGTAAAAATGTACAAAACACCCTGTGTTTTATTTATTGCGTGAAATTCCCTTGTGTTAATATAAAATTTGCACGAAACACCCTTATTGTCTAAAACTGATGTTCGGTTCTAAATATAGACCTAAATTACGTAAATTTATACAAATAAAAAACGTAAAATATCATAAATAATTTTTTGAATAAAATAAATAAATAAATAATTGATCAATAATTTATTTTTACAGTTTTTGTAAAAATTATTTAACAATTTGTATCCAAAAACTATAAAAATAAAGGATTATTTATTTAATTACTTATAGAATACCCACGGACGAAATTCGGTGAGTAATTCCGTGAGTAGTCGATTTACTCACGAATTTTTCAGAATTACTCACGGAAAAATTCTATAAGTAATGTCCCATTTTTTTGTTAATGTTGATGACACATAATATTAGTGATATGATATAACAATACAAGTGTGTTTAAACCTATTCAGTACAATAAGAAACTATGATGTGATTTAACAATGCAAGTGTGTTCAAAGCTAAGTAATACAATAATAAACTATGATGTGATATAACAACGCAAGGGTGTTTAAAGCTACCAAGTACAATAATAAATTATGATGTGATCAAACAATGCATGTGTGTTCAAAGCTAACTAGTACAATAATAAACAATGATGTGATATAACAATGCAAGTGTGCTACCTATTACAATAATAAATTATGATATGATTTAATAATACAATTAATAAAGCTCAACAAGACAAACTTGAAATGATTGATCACTAGTATAATGATTAAAAAAAAAAGTAAATTGTTCACAACTCTCTTGTGGTTTCGAAATTCAACGTAAAATGTTCTTGTACTTTAAAAATTGTATGACGTTCTCTTATACTTTAAAAAATATTGCATGAAACCCCACCATCATGAAACTTTCCTTGCGTGATAAAAAGATGATTTCCTATCTATAGTTTTTGCATGGCGGGGGGCTTTATGTAACATTTTTGAAAGTATAAAAGAGGTTTCATGCCATTTTTAAAGTAGAGTGGAGATTTATGCTAAGTTTTGAAACTATATAGGGGTTTAATGCAATATTTTTTAAGTATAAGGGAGTCATGCAATTTTTAAAGTAACTGAAGAATTTATGTTGAGTTTTGTAACCATAAGAGAGTTATGAACAATTTTGCCTAAATAAAATATTGTGATGTAATATAACAATGCATTTAAAAAAGTTAACTAAGACAAAATTAGATTGGTTTGATTTAACAAGCCATAATATACATAAATAATATAATAGTATAAAACTTATAGTGTGTAAATTATTCTTTAAATGTGCTTGCATTTTACAAATAAAAACATACAAGCTTTCAAAGATCTACATTTTTCTAAGTCACAATATTTTCTTCCACTAGACCTTCAAGTTTTAACAATAGAGCCAAACTCTCAAAAATCTTTTAATTTACAAAAGCCCTTTTCATTTCAAAGTTTTATGAACATATTTGAAAATCAATAATACTACTCACAGAACTCTTTCAACCTTAATGTTTCTCAAATTTTTCAAACATCTGTCCGAAATTTTTACGTTTTATCATAGTTTTCTATTTCTCCACGCTACTATTATCCTCAAAATTTTTAATATCTTGGAAGTTCATCATATCCTCAAAAATTTCAATCATATGGAAGTTCCTTTAATTCTCAAAATTTTCAATCATTTCAAGGTTCATTTCATCCTTCATCTATGGATTTTATGCAAAATACACGAATGAAAAGTATTCCTAAATTTTGCACACAAGTCAATCAACAAGATGAAGATGACGTACAAAACATTGTTCCGAGGACATAGACGAAAAAAAAGTGAACTCATAAAGAAGATTTTTTTTTATTAGTAGATGGTTTAATACAAGCAAATATGCACTAATAGGTACTGGTATAAACGGTACTACTCTTTAGGGAAAAAAATTCTCAATATTTTAATGATAACAAAATCTTAAGCAGAAATGTCAAGAATTGTAAACCAATGCAAGAATCGTTGACAAAAGATAAATCAAGTCATTTCAAAATTTGTTGAGTGCTATCAACAAGCTAACCAACAAAGAATGAACGGAGAATTTATTGATGATGTATTGCATAAGACACATCAAATATATTCTGCAGATTGTAAGAAAATATCTATTTATGAACATGCTTGGCGTGAATTAAAACTTGAGTCAAAAGTCATCGTTGTACAAATGTTGTCCATGAAGCATCTTATGATAGTGGAGTTGACCAAAAGAGAACTAAAATTAATGAAAATGGTGGATACTCGTCTAATTCAAATCCAACAACACCATATACTGATGGAGTAGAAAAATCTTCCTCAATTCGTCATCTGAGTGTGAAAGCGTGTAAAAATAAAGGCAAACAGACAATGAAGAAATCTCTAAATTCACTTTCCTTCAATAACTTTGAAGAGCTACGAGTTCAAAGTAAATAAGTTGCATCACAATTCGCTCGCATGACATAATTGAATGAAGAAAAAATAAAAAAACAACGAGCGTATTGCGAAAATAAAATTTTGTCAAACACTAGTGAAGAAAAATATTTTGACGGAGTAAGATATGTTTGTTAAGGCTAAATTGTCAAAGAATTGTTTAAAATATTGTTTAGATTATATGTAGTATTTTGTTCTATGTTATTCAAATAAGCTTATATTTTATTTTATAGTAATATCTTATTATTATTAATTATGTATGTATAATTAACTATAACCTAAATATATTTATTGTTTAATATAATTTTATATTATTAAATTTTGTTAACATTTATAATTATATTTTATTCAACAAATTAAATTATTTTTATTAATATTTATTTGTTTAATAATATTAAATAATAATTTTATTTTTATAATTTAAAATTTAAATTGATAAAAAATATCCAATATTAGTATCGTTTTGTAGAATACAAAATTTTATTAATCATAAAAATATTATAAAATTTAAATATAATAAAAAATTAATATAAATTTAAAAAATTACTTTATATACATAAAATATATATATTTAATATGACATGCAACGTGTCTTAGTTTAATTGGAATACATGGTATAAAACGTTGAAATATCTAGTGATGTTCTGCCCAACGTTTTTCAACCGAATATTTCTTATTTTTCTTTATTTAAATAACAGCATGGCGGGGATCTCCACGCGTTGATATTTCTTAAATCTAGTGCCCAAAAGTCGTAAAATTATTTTATTGTGATAGAATAAACACTAATATTAAAAAACATACTTGCAATTCTGATTTGGGAAAAAAATATGTTTGATTGTAATTTTAAATTGAAATCTAACACTATTTTATTTTATTCGATATAATTTTAATAAACATAAGTTTACGTCATCTTATAATGTATTATACCAAAATATTATTTAAATAATTCAAATCAACAATACATTTCAAATTAATTTCAAATCATATCAAAACAAACAAATTAATTTCTCCTTCTGCTCTCATCAAATTAATTTATAAAATTATCATAAACAAAAATGATCCCATCATATTGTTGAAGCATAGAAATAGTACAAACTTGTATAATATGATATCTCAATCAAGCACATTAGAAGTATATAAACAACATGTGATTTGTGTTTGTCTGGGGGTTTTGAAATTTGAGTTTGAGATTTGAATAATAAAAAATTTATTTTAAATATAAAATTAATTTTTAATAGTATAATATAAAAAGAATTGGTATTCTCTTCCTCCTAAAATTATAGTCTTATTTTGGGTTGGACACGAGATTTAAGGAATATTGATATTATATTGATAGTTGATAAAAAAAATGAGTAAAAGATTTTTTTGCCCTCATGAGTGTATTAGTATAAAAAGTTGTGGCATTTGTGTAATAATAATGAAAAAAAATGGATAATTTTATGGTGACAGGAATATTTATGAAAATAAGACTATTATTTTAGAACGGACAAAAATAGTAAATAAAACTATTGTGTTGAAACGGATGAAGTATTTAATTTGATATTTTAAAATTTTATTATCTTTCTATAGTAAATAATAAAAAAAAAAACAAGATCCTCTAAAAGAACGCAAAAGTTTTTATTTAACACAATATATGTTAAATAAAAGTATATAGTTACGTCTAATGAATATACTATATATATATATATTGAATTCAATTATAAATTATTTTGTCTTTGATTATGACATATACTCGTCGCTCATATATTGTATTTATATTTATATTAACATCAAACTAACAATACAGTCTATAATTAGTTTAATATAAATAATATTCCCTCGGCCTATTTGAAAGAGGTCATTTCGAATTTTATAATATATTAAAAATAATAATATTTTATTGATTAGTAAAATAATATTTTGATATTTTGATATTTTTATAAAATAATTGTATATATAATAATATATTTATAATTTAAATAAAAATTAAAAATATTTTGATGTTAATATAAAATTATTTTTACTAAAAAATATTTTTTCAAGGAAATAAAAAAAATAATTACAATTAGAAGGAACAAAGTACATTAATGCAGCACAATTATTTATTTTTATTTAAAACTTAATTTTGTGTCTAATTTATCTTTGTATACAGACTATTTCTTTACTATGTGTTTCTTTTGATAAATTTGAAAAAAAAAATTGATTTAAAATTTTATTAAATAATATATAATGAGATGTTTTTTAAAAAAATATAAATTTTTTTTTAAAAATACAAAATTCAAATAATAAAAATCTGTATATATTTTTTATTTAATGTAAAGAAACACACCCTTAAATATTAAATAAAATTGAAAGACATAGTTAAATATCGAGGGTATTTTGGTAAATTGAGAGGAGCACCTGGTCAAGTCGCCGCCTTAGGTGTCTGATTTCCCAAGTTTTTCTCAGACCTAAAAGAACTACCGCCGTTCCCAAAACCCTCTCCAAAACCCTAAACACCAAATTCCATTTCCATTTCGATTCACCGGAGAAATGGGCACGCCGGAGACCTCACGCGAGCCCTGTCCGGATCGCATACTCGACGACATCGGCGGAGCTTTCGGCATGGGCGCCGTCGGCGGCTCCGCTTTCCATTTTCTCAAGGGGATCTACAGCTCCCCGAAGGGCGAGCGCTTCGTCGGCGGCACGCAGGCCGTCCGCATGAACGCTCCTCGCATCGGCGGCAGCTTCGCCGTATGGGGCGGCCTTTTCTCCACCTTCGATTGCTCGATGGTCTACATGAGGCAGAAAGAGGATCCGTGGAATTCGATAATCGCCGGGGCGGCTACCGGTGGCTTTCTTCAGATGCGGCAGGGATTCGGCGCCGCGTCGCGATCGGCTCTCTTCGGTGGCGTTCTATTGGCTCTGATCGAGGGGGCTGGGATCATGTTAAATAAAGTTATGAGTCCTCCGCAGGAGGCGCCGATTTTTGTTGACGATCTTCCCGGTGGAGCGCAGGCGATGCCGCAGGCGGCGGCGATCGATCCATCTCCTGCACCGTCGTCTTGGTTTGGGGGTTTATTTGGGAGCGGAAAGGAGGAGGAGAAGAAGAGTGGCGGTGGAGCTAAAACGGAGGTTCTGGAGAGCTTTGATTCGCCGATGCCACCAACGTTTGAGTTCAAGTGAGGGAATTTTCAACTTTATATGTATTTTTTTTTTTTCAAATATGTTTTAATTCTTAGTGACAAATCTTTGAGGTTGTTTGGAAGTGAAGAAGTTTTATGATGTCCCTACGTTAGGTTTAATGGTTTGTGATCAAAGTGATATCCAATTTATCGAAGATAATAATACTCTGAAACTGAATGAACGGATCACTGATTGAAGGTAAATAAATCCACAAAAGGAAGTAAAGTATTGTTCACTCTAGAAATGGTGCCAAGAAAACAGTTAAAGCAAGGCATTCTTCATCTTTGTTCATGGTGTGGAATCAGGGAAAGTCTAGTTGAATATGGTTCTGAAATTCTTGAATTGGTGTGATTTATGGATATGAATTCGCGGGAGGAACTTGAACTTGAACTTGATCTTGATCTTGCACATTTGATTTATTATCTTCTGACTGATATGGGGTTGTAATTTAGTGTATTGTTTGGTGGTGCCATGTTTTCAATTTTCCAATATCTGCACTTTCTATTTCCCGTAGAGCCTCTGCATTCTTTATGTTCAATCTACTGAATTTCGTCAATGTGTGTATATATTATTTAGTTATTATCTCGAATTCTCTGGTTGTAGAACATCTGAAACTAACCATGGAACACTTTTGTGTGCTGTTGAGTATGGACTTATATTCATTTTTATCCCCATCACTCCTCTATATATGTCAATCGAATCCAATTTAGTCTTGGTTGATCGAATTGTTATTATTTGTACTAGGGAGGAATGTACCATTTTGGAATATTGGAACAAGTCACATATTTGTTATAGCATGAACACATTGTGTGGATTGATGATTGACAAATTAGTGCAAAAAAAGGGCTCGGTGGTAAAATGATGTACAGCATAATTTGCATTAGGATGATAGGATAGTTGAATTGTGTCAAACTGAAATATGATCGATCTCTTTTAGTATTAAGGTCCCTACCCATGAATTAGCTTTCACATTACAAATGAAATGCCTAATGATTTTGTGGAACCAGTGTTCTAATTTGTGATGAAACTTGGCAGTTTCTTGTCATTGAAAATGCAAAGTTTCTGTGAGCTAAATATTTATCTAGACTCTGACAGTCGATTAGCTTCTGCAAATTAACCATATGCCTGTCTGTATATGTGCCCTTTTATTAACTAATGTTGAAGTTTTGCCTTGCGGTAAATATAAGTAGTTATTGCATCTGATGTTATTTTTTTTGAAAATATAATTGTAAAATAGAAGTAAACTGTGAAGAAGTTAGCAAGTATAAAATGATGATGATGATTCATTTTTTCTTGTCTTCTATTCTATTTTTGGATCCCTTCTTCTGACACAAAGAAAATGCCTAATGAATAGGGCCTGTGATGATGAATTTAATGTATTGTTTTGTGAATTAATTGGCCCAATCTGGGGTGGAAATGTAAAAATAAAAAAGCCGTGGTAAACATAATTGTTATCCAATTTTTACAAAAACTATAAAAATAAATATTTTATTCAAAAAAATATTTAAAATATTTTACATTTGTGTAAATCTTGTGAAACTTAGTCTTTATTTAAAATCAAATATAAAGGTGTTTACAAACTTACATTAATAGAGGGGGTTCTACACAATAAATATATAAAACATATGATGTTTTGTGTATTTTTACTAAAAGGTTGATATAATTTACCTTTTAATTTAATATATATACATTATTCTATTTTTAAACTATCAAATCACTACATATTAAAACTTTCAAAATTCAAACCAAATCCTCATATCTAAATAAATTCAAAATTTCAAAAACATCTTAAAATTCAAATCTAATTAAATCCAAATCCAATTTTTTCGAACTTCTTCAAACAAAAAAAAATTAAATAAATAAAATTAATCATTAAAGTTTTAAATTATAATTATTTAATTATTAGTGGGCAATTCTGTCCAGCGAGAATTAGTTTGGGTTTTAAATGTATGCATGTATGTTTCAGCAAGGAACCATCAATTTTATCAATAATAAGAAAAAGAAAAACCACGTCATCAAAAAAATAAAAATTAAAAAAAAAGAAAAAAAAAGGGGAAAGGTTTATTTGACACAGGTTAAACCAACGGTTGGTTGAAATTCAACCAAGGCTGGCGCCCATTTTCTGCGTCTGATATTTGACTTTTCTTATTATTAATTAATTATATTATATTATATTATATTATATTACTCCCTCCGTCCCAGATACCGTGACTGCTACACTGTAGATACGGTATTTTAAGAGAGGTGTAACTAGTAGATAATTAATAATGTATTAGTAAAAATATTTATCTTATAATATAAATAATTATAAATTAAGATTAAGATAACTAATTAGTTTAATTAAAATTAAAAAAATAAAATTAAAAAATTTAAAATGAGATTAAAGTGTGTAATCATTTTCCAGAAAATGAAAGTGACATGGCATATGGAACGGACAAAAACGGCAACATGGACATGGTATGTGAGACGGAAGAAGTATATTATATATAACGGGTTGATCCTTGAAGTACTTCCAATCAGCTTTGTGTACATCATTTGCGTGTGCGTGTGACAATGGAATAAGCCACCATAGTATTTTGTGAGTATTTATTTACTCTCTTCCTCCCACATAATTTGTCTATACTTTCTATTTGTGTCTGTCCTACATAATGTTTTTTTTTTTTTTTTTTAAATTGATTATACACTTTAATCTTATTTTAAAATTTAAAATTTAAAACTTTTTTAATCTTAATTAAATTATTTAGTTATTTTAATCTTAATCTATTAATAATTATTTGTACTAATACACTTCTTAATTATTTACTAATTGTACTTTACATAAATTCTTATCTAAGACGGAGGGAGTATTTTTATTCTTTAGTTTATAATAATGATGTATATATTTTAAAATAATCCGTATGGTTTGAGTTTTCAATTCAAACAGTAATTTTTTGTTAAAAAGATTTTAAATTCAAAAGTGTCCAAAATACAAACAAACATGTACGAGTGTAACTTCAATGTTTAGATTTTGGGTTCGAAACGAAACTTATTTTGAAAATTTGGATTGAAATAATATTTGATATGATTTTTTTAATGAAAAATTACTTTTTTTTATAGTATAGTAAATGAAAAATAATTATGTAAATTATACTTTTTTTTTTTAAATATTTAATAAATAGTGTGAGATTATATTCAAATTTTAAAGAAACAATCGTGACGCTTTAAACTATTATTTCATATGCCCACAGACTTATTTTTCTATTTAAAATGTCCAATAACTATTATTTTTTTTTTTAAATACAATTTTATTTTTTTACCATTTATTTATTTATCACTTTTAATATCTACCTTATCATAATAAAGGATAAATTTATCAATTCATAAAAAAAATAATAACTACCTAAAAACGATGCGAATGAATTTTAAGACAATTATAAATGAATGGAGGAAGCATTATTCTAATTGTGGCTCAAAAAAAAAAAGTTATTATTGCTATAATGATGTTTAAAGTGGAAATATTATTAATTTAGAGTTTGATTATATTTATTTACAAACAATAAAGTTGATAGAGTATGCATTATTGACCTTGTTTATTTCACTTTATATTTCTTTTTACAAAATATCGTACTAATATATATTTAAAAAATATTTATATATTTATTAAATTGTAAAATTAATTGTTGTTATTTAAAATAATGAATATATAAATTTTAAATATAAAAATAATATAAAAAATTAATATATCAAAAAGATATAATCGAAGAATGAGTTTAATCGATAATACTTCTTAAATTAAAATTTCTGTTTATAATATATTCTTTTACGTGCACCATATTTCTTGTTTTTAATCGAGTAATTTTGCTAAAATCTTATATCATATTCATGTATAAAAATTTAAATGGATAAACAAATCAATTGATTTGCTCTTTGTTGTAAAATCAAATTTTATTAATATGTTTGTTGACAAAAAATTGTGTTATTTTTAATAAACACAAAATTTGTACAAATTATATTTAATTTGAATTTAAAGCGGGTTTTATTATCTAAATGGGTTTTTGATTCTCCTTCCGGGTCGATTTTTTTTCCAGCTTAGTTTTCGATGACTTCTTTGATCCGAAGAGGTTTGATCTTCGGTTTGACTTTGCCGGCTTTTGTAGAGCTTTGGTCTCCGTGTAGGCGATTTGATCGTCGGCTTTGGATTTGATGTCTTTTTTAGACAATCCGAGGCTTTGATCTTTGATTTGGCTTTGCCGCCTTTTGGAGGGTTTTGGTCTCCATATTGGCGATTTGATTATCGGCTCTGGATTTAATGTATTCTTTAGACGATCCGAGGCTTTGATCTTTGATTTGGCTTTGCCGCCTTTTGGAGGCCTTTGGTCTCTATGTGAACGATTTGATTATCGGCTTTGGATTTGATGTCTTCTTTGGACGATCCACGGCTTTGATATTTGATTTCCCTTTTCCGCCTTTTGGAGAACTTTGGTCTCCATATGGGCGATTTGATCGTCGGCTTTGGATTTAACGTCTTCTTTGGACGATCCGCGGCTTTGATCTTTGGTTCGCCTTTTCTACCTTTTGGAAAGCTTTGGTTTCCGTGCGGGCAATTTAATCCTCAGCTTTGGATTTAATGTCTTCTTTGGACGATCCGCAACTTTGATCTTTGATTTGTCTTTGCCGCTTTTAGAGGGTTTTGGTCTCCGTGTGGGCGATTCGATCGGCTGCTTTGGATTTGATGTCTTCTTTGGACGATCCGCGGCTTAGATATTTGGTTTGCCTTTTCCTCCTTTTGGAGAGCTTCGGTCTCCGTGTGGGAGATTCAATCGTCGGCCTTGGATTTGATGTCTTCTTTGGACGATCTGCGGCTTTGATCATTGCTTTGGCTTTGCCGCCGTTCGGAGGGCTTTGGTCTCCGTGTGGGCGGTTTGATAATTGGCTTTGGATTTGATGTCTTCTTTGGACGATTCGCAGCTTTGATCTTTGAGAAGGTGGATTTGGTGCTTTATAACACTTTTGACGGCGTGTCCCTTTGACTTTTGGATTGAAGAGGGCCGAATTGTTGCTTTGGTGAAGAACGCGATGAACACCTCGAAGCTTTGGGATGAACTTTGGATGTTCTTCCTTGACTTTGATGGACTCTTCAATGGCTTTTGGAGCTTTGATCTTTGAAGAGGTGGATTTGGTGCTCCATAACACTTTTGGCGGCGTATCCCTTTGACTTTTGGATCGAAGAGGGTCTAGTCGATGCTTTGTTGAAGAATGCGATGAACATCTTGAAGCTTTGAGAGGAATTTTGGAGACCTTCCCTTGGCTTTGACGAATTTCTCAACGGCTTTGAGAGCTTTGATTCTTCCTCCGGCTTGGATATACGACGAAGAACGTTAACCTTTAGCTTGAATCGTTGATGAAACTTCGGTGTCCCAAATGAACTGACAATGGCTCCTATTTATAGGGATGGGTGGCTTCGGCTTCCTTTTTTAAGGGTGCCACGTGACGCGTTTTGATTGGTCAATAGGAAGATTTTATAATCTTTCCTTTTTCCATCAGATGCTCTTTTCCATTCTTGACGGATTTGATTGT